CTCCCATAGACACAGCAGAAGACTTCCAGCCCCTTGAACCCCTTGCCCCACCCCCCAGCAGGCCAGCACAGCACGAGTCTCACCACGGTGCCTTTGCCAGGGCTGCCGTGGCCAGAGGGCCGGCTAGCGAGGGGCCAGGCGCAGTAGGAAGGGGCGCGGGATGTTGCCAAAACCGCTGACGTCAGGGGTGAGGTCAAGCTGGCTGACGCCCGGTGCGTGCTGCAGGCGGAAGTTCTGCAAGATGGCCGTCAGGAACAGAAAGAGCTGCATGCGGGCCAGGCTCTCGCCAATGCACATTCGCTTCCCTGGGGGCACGAGGCTGCGGTCAGGGCACGGAGTGAGCCCCAGCTCTGCCGCAGACTCTCAGCACCACCCTGGGTACCTCGCCTAACCCTCCCCCAGATCCCCTGGAGGCTCCTCCGCTTGGGTCCTACCTGCTGAGAAGGCCATGAAGGCCTCGTTTTTCTTGACAGCCCCTTTGTCATCCAGGAAGTGCTCAGGGTCGAACATCTCCGGGTTCTTGAAATGCTTGGGGTCATGGAGCACAGAGCTCAGCATGGGGTAGACCGTGCAGCCCTGCGGGGAGGAGCAACCACACCAGTGAGATCAGGGGGACTGGATAGCCCACGGCGGGCGCCGGCAGGGAATGGAGACTGATCCAGGCTGTCTGACCAGGAATGCACAGCTGAAAACATTTGATTAGCTTCCCAAATGAGCTATTATTGTATTCATTTGCATACCACGCACACCTCCCCCTGCCCCCCAGTGATACAGCTTTAACCATCAGCAATTCCAGCGATCATGAACGTGAGCTCCAGTGAACGTGAGCCAGTTGTGCGATGCTGTAGCCAGCCGGGCTAACAATACCCTGGCATGCGTCAATCGATGCATCTCCAGCAAAACCAAGGAGGTGATCTTCTGCTCTACTCTGCACTGGTCAGGCCACAGCTGGAGTACTGCATCCAGTTCTGGGCACCACACTTCAACAAGGACTTGGTAAAGCTTGAGAGAGTCCAGAGAAGAGTCACCCGTATGATCAGAGACTTGCATGGCAAGCCATATGAGGAAAGGATGAGGGACCTGGACTCTTCAGCCTGAAGAAGAGAAGGCTGAGAGGGGACTTGGTAGCAGCTTGCCGCTACATCAGGGCAGTACATCAGGGGCTCGGTGAACGACTATTCACCAGGGCACCCTTGGGAAAAACCAGGAGAAATGGCCACAAAGACTGTTTCAGGCTCAACATTAGGAAAAACTTCTTCACAGTTGGGGTGTCCAGACTGTGGAATAAGCTCCCTCCATGGGTGGTGCAATCGCCTCCCCTGGAAATCTTCAAGAGGAGACTGGATGGTCACCTTCCTGGGGTCACTTGACCCCCAGTTATCTTTCCTGCTTGGTGCGGGGGCTGGACCCGATGATCTTGTGAGGTCCGTTCTAGCCCTATAACCTATGAAGCTATGAATATAAATCTATGAATCCCAAGCAAAAGTCTCAATCCAAATGTCGGCTGGGGAATGACCCAGCCCCTGCCCGGATGCTTTGCAAGTGAATCCCAACTTAGAAGCAGAGGTGCCCAGGCAGCTGGCTGGGCACAGATGCTGTAGCAATGACACGGCTGCCCCATGGCCTCATATCGCACGTGGCACCGGGAGGGAGGAGCCCCACGTACCTTGGGGATGTGGTAGCCGTGGATGTGGGTGTTGCAGCTGGTGATGCGGGGTACGCCCAAGGGGAGGAGGTCAATGTAGCGCTGCACCTCATGGATGACGGCATCCATGTAGGGCATCTCTGCCCGGTCCTTGATGGTGGGACCGCGTTCCCGCCCGATCACCTGGTCGATCTCCTCCTGGATCTTCTCTGCCAAGGGATCAAGGGGGTCAGAGGCACTGCATCCAGCCCCTCTCACAGGGGGCAGAGGCTCGGGAGTGGGGGAGGAAGTGACGTAGCAACCCCTCCGCTCTGCGCCCCAGCAGACCCAAGCCCACCTTCCACGGCCGGATGTTCGAGCAGCACCATGATGGCGTAGCGGAGGCTGGTGCTGGTGGTCTCCGTCCCGGCGAAGAAGAGGTCGTAGGTGGTCATCATCAGGTTCTCCCTGGTGAACTCTGTCTTGGGGTTCTGCTTCTCCTGGGGGTGGAAACAGGGCATGGACATGGAGCCTCACCAACAGCACAGGGCTGGCACCCCATGGAAGCCAGTTGTGAGCTGATTTTCCAAGGGTCTGCCCCCATCGCCAGCCCCACCTGCTCCATCTTGAGGAGGAAGGAGTCGATGAAGTCCCGGGGGGCGTTGAGGTCCACAGTGTCCTCATGAGCCCGGACTCTGCTGGCCACAAAGCCCTGGATGGTGGAGATGTTCTGGAAGAAGGTCTGGTGTGGCCCAGGCAGGTGATCCATGAGGGCGGGGAAGACATTGTAGAGCTGGAGGAGAGATCAAGGAGGGGATGTGACCCTGGCAGGGATGAGCCCACCTGTATCCCTGCCTGTGTACCCAAGGTCCCAGCCCCTGCAGTTCCACTGCTCTTGGAGGCTCTTTTTGCACCTGCTGGGGACAGGACAAGGAGGGACCTGGGAAACTCACAATGGGAGAGAGACCAGTCTAGCCACGATAGGGATTGATGCCTGGCCCATGTCACTGAGAGCTGCCCAAACATCAGTCACTGGCTCTTGCAACAACCCCCTCCACCAGCCAGGGGTTGCTGGCCCCATATCTCAGAGGAGGAAAACAAGGCAGGGAGCAGTGAAGGGACATGCCCAGCAGCAGCAGGCCTTTACCTGGCCAGCGACGGAGCTCTCAAGCCGGAAGCTATCGCTGAGCACTCGCAGGACGTGCCGATACTGGCTGTCCTGGTAGTCGAAACGCTCCCCGAACAGGATGTGGCAGATGACGTTGGCCGTGGCGCAACTGAAGGGGACGGTGGGGTCGAAGGGATGCCCTGCAGTGGGACCAGCCATGGTCTGCCCTGGTCCGCTGAGCCGCCCTCCCAGCCCACACACCCTGTGCCTGTGTGTCCCCATCGTCAGGTGGCGCTGTCTCTCTGACCCCAAATGCACCCATTCCACCCCACCGCCAGCTTGTCTGCCCATCCTTCTGGCCATCCATCTCCACATGCAGCCACCTATATGTCCCTCCTTCATACCGCCACCGAATCTTCCCTCCACCCACCTCTGTGTTTCTGTCTATCCATCCAGGGTGCACATCCATCCATCCATCTGTTCCTCCATCTCTTTATTTCTGTCTATCTGTCTGGTCTAGATGTCTATTAATGTCTCTCTCTCTTTCTGCACATCCATCCATGGGAACACCCACCCACACACCTACCCATCCATCCTTTTATCTCTCCCTCCATCTCTGTGGTTCTGCCTTTACATCCAATCCATATCCATTAATGTCTCTCTCTCTCTGTCCATCCATCCCTCCACAGAAAAACCCATCCATGCATGCATCCATCCATGCCATGAGGCTATCAGTCCTCAGGGTGGGTCCTGCACCTCCGCTCCACCCTGAAGTCCCCATTGAAGCCTATAAATAACAAGGCAGTGGGTGGCCAGGGGGGCTGCAGATGCCACCTAACTCAGACTATGGCAAGGCAGAAAAGGGGGACCCCAGACCCCTCCCTCCACTCGGGGACACCGCAAAGACATGCCTGTGCTTCCACAGGGCAGCCAGGGCTGTCACCCACAGAAACAGAGATGGGGACATGGTGCTGGGGAGGTGAAGCTGCCATCAGCCCCCGCCTCAAACACCCACCGTCCTTGGCCCGCAGTTCCTCCAGCAGGAACTGGGCCTCCTCCTGGATCCGCTCCTCAATGCTCTTCTTGCCCATGCCAAAGTTGCGCAGGGTGGTGAGCGAGAACCGGCGCATCTGCTTCCACCGCTCCCTGTTGCTCATGATGATGCCTGGAGTGGTGGGAATAAGTAGGGAAGAAGGCCAGCTCTCAGGTCCTGATGCCCCTGGGGGGGGCAGAAGCAGCATGAAGAAGCCCCAAGCCTGGAACGCCAGGTGGTAGCCGGGCCTTACATCACGGCTGTTCAGGACGCTCCTCGTCCCTCCCAGGCGGGGCGTGCCCATGGAGAAAGCCCACCCCCAGCCCATCAGTGGCCCCGTTCTCTCCCACAGAGATAAGTCCCATATGGGCATCAAGGGAACCTCATGGCACGCGCCTGGGTACCAGCCATGCTCAGGCCATACCGAGGCCCTTGTTGGTCTTGTCTGCTGAGGGGAAGCTGCCCCGGTCCAAGAACTCCTCGCTACGGTCAACCAGCACTTCCTTCACCACGTCGTAACCATACAGCACCACCACGCGGTCTGAGCCGAAGAACACCGTGAAGATCGGGCCGTAGCGCTCGCTCATCTGTGTAGATGCAAGGCATCGCCATGCGTCTCAGGCCCTGGCCCCAGCCCCAAGTCTTGACTTGACCTGTCCACCGTTCCAAATCCGTCTGCCCATTGCTCTTCCACTCCAGCCAGCCATCCACACCCAGGTCCTTACACAGACCCCACCAGGTATGCTTCTGTCAGATTAGACAGAAACCTCACTTATTCATCCTGATAACCCCATCTACTTCTAGCTAGCTAGATAACCATCTCCTATACTCTCATCCATCCATCCATCCACATCTAGGTCCCACTCTATCCCATACACCCGCTTCTTTATCAGGTCATCCCCTACCCCCACAGCCCTCTTCCAAGGTCCACATACACAGGTCTTTCCCCACTCTCTGCCTCTGTACACATCCATCCACCCCATGCCCACCAACTGATCCTTCCTGCCCTATAAACCTCTCCCCATGCTTGCCCCCATGTTTTCTGATGGGCTGCAGCATGAGCAGGTGAGTTTGGAGCCTGGAGCAGGGCATATCTCATTATTAAGTAACAGCAAAGCCTGGCTGGCAGACAGATGGGGTGAGCAGGGAAAGGTACATCCCACGCCAGCCCAGTTGCTATGGAAAGATTGCAGTAATTAAATACCTTTGCTCATTAGGTTATCACCAGCTGAGCAATGAGGCTGGCTTGAGACAAGCCCTGTTTAAAAACAGATGCACTTTGGACTGGGATTGAACCCAGAAGTGCCCCTGCTACTGGCACCAGCACTCTGGAGTAGCTGCCCCACGCTGATCCAAAGTGCAGGGTGGTGGGACTATGGACGCAATCCCAGCCCCTGACCCAGACCACCCCAACCCCTGGCTTGCCCTCCGCACTGACCTTGCGGAGGGTCTTTCTTGCGTCCTTGACTCTGAGCTGCAGCAGGTTTCCAAGAATGGGCAAGGGAATGGGTCCAGGTGGGGACCGCCTTTCCAGAGGGGGTTTCCTCCAGGCCAGGACCAAGAGGCAGGTGACACAGAAGGCCAGGACAGCTGTGCTGGCTCCAAGCAGCTCCATGGTAAGCCCCAAAGGGATGGTGTGCTTCCTGCTGCCCAGCTGGGACTGGGCTTTATATCCCACTAAATAGAGGGGTGCAGGCACCTGCCAATGAGGTCTTAGCACTGCCACTGAAGTTAGTGTTTAACTAGTTCTTATATAAACCTCTGGAAGGGTGTTGGCCAAGGTCGGGAGCATTCATCTCCACTCCCACTCCAGGGCTGGAGCCAGGGAGGCTCGTCTCCCACTTGGGCTCCTGGGCAGCCACTATAACGGGCCTCTGTGCTCCCAGCTCTGGCTGACGAGAACAGGCTAGCCCTTTCAGCTTCATCACATACTCTCGGGGAAGAGCTGGCATGACATGGAGCCTCCCGCCCTCCAGCTCCATGCGTCCGCAGCAGCTCCTCGTCTCTGCTGGGGGAGCAACGGCAGCCCTGCCTCTTTTGCCACTGCTCACACCAGTCGTGTGGACCTTGAGGAAGGCCTGGCAATGTGGACAAGGCTTAGTGCAGCCATGGACCTGGCAGGAATCCTTTTTGGAAGAGCAACCAAATGCCTCCTTTCTGCCCAGCTTCACTTCCCCCGTGAGAAGGGGTTTGAGAAGCCTGTGTCCAGGACACATATACCCAGCGTGGACAGTGTTCCAGCTCATGTCCCCAGGCCCCGAGGAAGCCACAGACCCATGGGGCATTGACCTGGTGCAGGACTCCACTGTGCTGGGGGCTGCACAGCCAGGAAGAGACAGGCCTTGCTCCCTGGCTATATGGCTAAGGGGTGCCTCTTGGCATTATAGATTTCATAGACATTAGGGCTGGAAGGGACCTTATGAGATCATCGGGTCCAGCCCCCTGTCCAAGGGGCAGGAAGTCAGCTGGGGTCAGATCACCCCAGCAAGGTGAGCATCCAAACATTTCTTAAAAGTATCCAGAGTAGGTGTTTGCACCACTTCTGGGGGGAGTCTATTCCAGACTCTGGAGACTCGGACAGGAAAGAAGTGTTTCCTTATGTCCAATCTAAAATGGTTTTCCAGCAGTTTGTGATCATTAGAACTTGTCTTCCCTTGGGGTGCCCTGGTTAACAGACGTTTCCCCCGATCCTGATGCACCCCCCTGATATACTTATAGGCTGTCACCAAGTCCCCCCATCTTCTCCAGGCTGAAGAGTCCCATGTCCCTTAGCCTCTCCTCATACGCCCTCTTCTCTTGACCTCTACTCATGTGCGTGGCTCTCCTCTGCACTCTCTCAAACTTCCCCACATTCTTTCCAAAGCGTGGAGCCCAGAGTTGGATGCAGTACTCCAGCTGCGGCCTCACCAAGGCCGAGTAAAGCAGGAGGATGACTTACAGACAGGGAAACCGAGGCCAAAACACAGCGAGCAATCGACCCCAAGGGAAGCAGTGGCAGAGCCAGACCCACAGGTGCAGCGGTATCTGTGAGGATAAGAGCTACCAGTTCCTGCTGTGGCTCGGTCCAGGTTAGCCATGACCTTGGTGACACCGAGCCTGTGAGCAGCGTGGCCTGGGAGGAACCCAGCTGGGACTGGGAGTAGGTCTGACAACACGGCTGAGGCATGGCGGGTAGCAGGGCAAAATGGGAAGGGGAGGAAGCACCAATGGTGCTGGCAGCCCCCCTGAGGCCTCTATAGTGTCCAATCCGTCTTGTACTGTGGGGAGAGGGGCAGAAGCCCAGGGGTGAAGGCTCCAGGCCTCTCCAAATGCCCAGGGTCCCTCAGTAGTGAGCCGAGCACCACAGACACTTCAGTGCCCTGGGGGCAACAGCGTGATGAGACAGCTGCTAGGAAGGTTGTGGATGGTCGATTTGAGGACCAGAAGTGGGGAAGGTGCAAAGTGTTACACAAGGTAAATGCAACCAGACCACAGGGTTGGGGACCCATGCAGCACTGAGTAGCAAAGTAGCCCCTGCACTGCCAGCAGCGCTGCTGGAAGGGAGGTGGAACATGGGGGGTGGGGGGGCCCAGAGCCTCTCCTGCATCTGTGATGACCGTGGATGAGGGGCTTGTGCCAATGGAGAAGGATACAAAGGCCTTGTTCTTCTTGGATTTCCTCTTCTCATCCAGGAAGTGCCCAGGACTGAAGGCTTTGAGTCTCTTGAAGTGCTCAGGGTCCTTCAGTGCTGAGCTGCATATGTGGCTTGACATATCCCCAGGGCCATGTACCCCCAAGCACCCTGCTTCTACTGAGCCACAGGCCATGGAGCCACATGCCCAACCCCTTGCTTGTCCTGCCCTTTCTCCCCAGGCAGTATTGGCCACAAACCTTTGTTCTCCCAGTTCATTTGGGCTCCTCTGACTCTGCAGAGTCCCTATGAGGACAAGGCCAAGTGCAATGGGCCAGGCCACTGCAGCTGCAGGGCATCTTGCTGGCTCCCAGCAGGTGATGGCAAACAGTTGATCAGAGAGCAGCACCGGTGGCTGGAACATCCCCCCTGCCCCACGGGACACTCACTTGCCTGGATGAATCCAGGGGTACAGGAGCCACCAGCCAAACTTCATTCAGGAAACCTGGGCTCAGGTTTCACTCATGATATGTGTATCTATAAATTTGCCTATTATCGAATGGAAAGGTTGTGGTTGGTCTGAGGGTGGGTCCCCCACCCTGAACAAGGTATCTAGATCCTAAATCCAGAGCCAACACCTAGGGGATCCATGGTCAGTGGGAGCCCCTTTATCAACAGGCTTATCTCCTGTGAAGGCATTCGACTGGGTTGAGAGCCGCCTTAAAGCTCCATCCAGAGGATCCTGACACAAGCACCTTAGTTCATAGACTCATAGAAGTCGGGTCGGAAGGGACCTTGTAGATCTTCAGGTCCGCCCCCCTGCCTGGGCAGGAAGAAAACTGGGCTCAAATGACCCCAGCCAGGTAGGCAACAAGCCGCTTCTTAAAGACCCCCAGGGTAGGAGCCAGCACCACTTCCCATGGAAGTCGGTTCCAGATCCTAGCCGCCCTGACAGTGAAGTAGTTCTTACGGATGTCTAATCTGAACCTACTCTCCATCAACTTGTGGCCGTTATTCCTTGTTATCCCGGGGGGCGCTAGGGGAAACAGCGTCTCCCCCAAACCCTTCTGGTTCCCCCTAGTGAGTTTATAGATGGTCACCAGGTCCCCCCTCAGCCTTCTCTTGTGAAGGCTGAACAGGTTCATTTCCCGTAGCCTCTCCTCGTAGAGCCTGCCCTGCTGCCCCTTGACCATGTGAGTGGTCCTCCTCTGGACCCTCTCAATGTTGTCCACATCCCTCTTGAAGTGCGGTGCCCAGCACTGGACACAGTACTCCAGCTGCGGCCTGACCAGTGTCGAGTAGAGGGGGAGGATCACCTCCTTGGACCTACCTGAGATGCAACAACAGTTGTGTAACTTGTTTATACAAATAAAAGTGGTTGTGCTTCCAAATCAGATGTGGGCAAAGAGAGCATCCAGGCTCAGGGTTACACAGGGGCTGCAGCAGTGAGACCATTTCTGTGCTCTGCAGTCCTACAGAGAGCAATTCTTGGTCTGCCCAGCTCCTGCCTCCTGCAGGCGTTTCTACGAGGCAGACACTGGCAGGTTGCAGAGCAGAGAGCAGCACTGGGAGCTGGAACATTCCCCCACCCCATGGGACACTTGCCTGCCTGAACGAGTCTGGGGGCACAGGAGCCACCAGCCATACTTCCTCCAGGAAATCTGGGCTTGGGTTTCACTTATGATTGAATCTAAACCTGCTTCCAGCTAAGGTGGCTTCATAAACACTTCAGCTCAGCCTTCCTCCCCCCTCTAGCATCTCATCCAGCCAGTGGATACAACACCCCTCTAGCATCTCATCCAGCCAGTGGATAATGACCTATTGCTCTGGACAGCTGGTGGAAAGGCCCCTGAGATCCGAAGGCAGCTCTCTGTGCAGGGCAGCTGCAAGTGGCTCCTGCCAATGGCTCTGTGCTTTACCAGAAACAGGTTATGTGTTTTGAAGCTGCTCCTTCTAATTCCAGCACCTGCACAGACCCTGGCTGAGCTAGCAGGTAGGGCTGTGCGAAGCTTTGGGTGGTGATTCGATTCGGCCCAATTTGGTGGCTGAATCTCTGAATCCAAATCGAATCAGGGGACAAATTTAAAGGAAAATCTTTGGAAAAGATTCAGAGAGCTTTGATGAATCGGGCAGTCTCCGGTGGCTGCAGCAGGGAGCTGCAGCCGTCTCCAAGCTGGTAAGTATTCGGGGCAGGGGACAGGGGCTGGGGGACGGGACCATGGGGGGACCCCTGCAAGTGTCCCTGACCCCCTTGCTCCTTCAGGCCCCCCGACCTTCGCCCAATCCCCCAGCCCCACCTTGGCTTCCCCATCCCCGCCCCAGCTCGGTACTTTAAAGAAAAGCCCTGGTGCTCACTGGGTACTGCCGGGTGTGGGGGGTGATTCCCCTTGCCCCCCCAGTGCCTCACACTGCATGGGAGACTCTTCCATGAGCCCCCTGACCCCCTCTGCTCCTCCAGCCCACCCATGGGTGCCCCGCCTGGGCCATATTCAGCCCTTTAAGAAAAAAAACACCCAAGAAAAGCCCTGAGACTCACCCCTCCTGTGGGGGCCTTGGGGCTTCAGAGGCTCATGCAGAGCCCCTCATGTGGCTCAGGGCAGCGGGGGGCAGCGGGGATTCCCCCCTGCTGGCAGGAGTGGGGAGTCTGGGGGGATTTTCAGGGTTTTTTTTCTTAAAGGGCTGGAGGTGGCCCAGGTGGGGTACCCATGGCGGGGCT